CTTCGAAAATATTTAAGATACATATAGGACTTCCACAGGGCAGTAGTCTTAGTCCATACTTATTTATAGTGTTTCATTCAGATCTAACAAATTACCTGGGAGCTCATTCATGTCATCTATTTGCAGATGATCTTTGTGTATTAATTAGTCCTCCCATTATGAGAAACTTAGACCCGATGATTGAATACTTAGAAAAAGAAGGTACACGAATTTGTAATCAGGTTCTTATATATTCAAAAAAGTGGAAACAACCGTTAAATGTTTCGAAAACTGTAGTACAACTTTTTCATACACAAGTAAAAAGACCGATAGTAAATGTAACGATAGACGGAAACAAAATCGAACTAGTTAGAGAATTAAAATACCTAGGTTTTACCTGGACGGATAAACTATCGTTGAAACCAACAATCGAAAAAGCGATAGGAAATATTCAGAGATCGCTAGGAAAACTAAAATGGATGAAATCTGGCCGCGAAATGTCATGTAAAGCTCTCCGGCAATGTTTTTTCGCATTCACCTTCCCTCATTTCGCTTGGCTGTTTCCACTTTTTCCAATCCTCTCAGAATCTCAACAAAATATATTGCAACAAAAATTCCGTGTAGGACTTCGGCTGGTGCATCGCTGCCCCTTCGTTTCTGCTCATAATCTTTTCAATATTACCTCAGAACAACCCTTAGAATTTTATGTTAAAAAATATATTCAACGAAGACTAAAGACCATTTACACAACTGATCTTGGTTCTTCATTGTTCTATGAAGATATTTTTGGGTGGGATAACTTTTATAAAAGAAAAAACGATCATCTTGGGCATTTTTTTTGTTTACGTCGTGTTCGGCAATTGAAAGATCGACACGAGTCTTCTCTTTTAAAATGGTTGTCCTTTGTTGATGTGAATTAATGTCACAGAAAGACGCTTAAATGTAATGCTTATGCAATTTTTTTTTTTTTTTCGTTCTTGCTCTCTTTCTTATTACTTTTTATCTCGCATTCGTTTCTCTTGGTTTGTTTTTCGTCTTCCTTCGAGTTGCTCGCTCTACTCACGTATCTCCGCAGCTACTCATCATCAGTACTTCTCTCACTATCTTCTTCTTCTCTTTCTTGTACTCTTGGGTTATTTTTTTTTTCTTTTTCATTTATTTACTCTCTATATATCCCCATGTGCAGAAGTTGGTACTCAGTATAGCATATTGTTGGCACAATTGTAACGCTTTGCTTTAATGATACACCATTTCGCTTATACATCTATAATTCTCTCATTTATTATGTAAGCACTTCCGAGTGTTACAGACACGAGCATAATAAAAAAAAAAAAAAAAAAAAAAAAAATCCTAGAATCACGAAACACAATGCAAATGTTAGTCTATCAAATTTTCGTAATGAAGTACGTTATCATATTAACTTTATTTCGATCAATATTTTATTATGTTTAAGTTAAAATTGACAAAATTTGCTCTGATATTAGACCAGTGTTTTCCAAAAATCACTAGTCATAAGTAAACTATGTCTTTGTTTCTGCGCTCATTGAACTAATATTTCTTGCCACTGTAATCCTTTTACAAGACCAGTTTTATTCTTACGTTGTACCATTTCCTCACTAATTTCAATTATTCCTCCATTCTTTTGTTGTATATTCAGCTTTTCTAAATCTTTAATTACTCGTTGACTTCCATAATATGCATGACGTACAATATCTTCTTGAAATCCATGACCTAAAGTGACACATTCAATATCGTTTACTAATATCGTATGACCTCGATCGAGTGCAAAATTATATACAGCTTCGCAGGAGATCTCACTGGCTGATGAGACAAGTGAACAAGGCATTATCCATTGTTGATTCATGCGAATAGGATGCCAAGCAGTAATAATCAAGTTATTTTCAACCTTTAAAATAATAAAACGATTTATGTTCATCATCTAGTGAAAAATAAATTCATTAATACTCACTATAACCATTTTAGCTTTTCGAGTTTTACATATTGTTTTTACAACAAATTTTACTATTCCACCATGTGGTGCTAATCGATCACCAGGTTGAACATCTTTTACTAATTTCAAACAACCATTTATAAGACGTACAGTGCATTCTCCATAAAAACATCCAGCAGATGCATTATTATAAACTGACATATCTATAGGAGTACCAGTCTCTGTACGTTTTGGAGCTGGTAAACTACAAAATATATCATCCATTTCATCTCGTATTTGTGAAAAAAGTAAACCATTTCCATAATGTTGAACACCTGGATCTTTAAAATTGTTACAAAATTGAAGAAGATGTGCACCTAAAGAAAATAATCTCTCTTGTTATTTCGGTTTCATTACACTCATTTTAATCAATCTCTTTTTAAACTTACGTGTTAAACTAGGCAAAAAATGTATGCCCCATTTTTTGCACCATTCAACTTTTCCAATAGCTTCTTTTACTTGTCCTGTTAAATCAGTAAATAAATCTTTAATATATGAATCTGTTCCATCTGCAAAACTCTTCATATTGTTTTCTAATTTTTCAATTTGATTGAGTGTTTCTCCTGTTACGCTTGTTTTTGTTTCGCGCATTTGTTCTAATGCTGTCCGTACTGAATGAACAAATTGTAAACGAAATTTTTGTCGACGGATTTGAGTTGGATCAGCCTGTTGAAGATTATTCGACACATGAAATTCAATAGTTTTCTTAATGTTTCGTCCATTATTATATGTCAAAGTGATGTTACATTGATTTGGCAGTTGATGAGAATATGGAATAAGTAAATCTTTGTTTTGACCATATGTGATGGAACCCAAATCGAATAAAGTACCTTGTTTAGTTTTACTTGTTGAGTACCAACGAGTGTAATCTGAGTCTTCAATGTGTACATCATCAATCAACAACTATAAAAGACCAAATTAATAAATAAACAAAATAAAACTATTAATCAAAATCAGAAGAATTTTGTAGTTTACTTATTTTATCAGATAAAATTGAAATAAACCTTGAAGAGAATAATTACCTGTACATTAGTTGCTGTTGTTGTTAATAATGTCGAAATAGC